TGCCTCTTCACTCCCTCAAGATGATCCAATACCTTCACCAGCAAGTTTCCACAGTACATAAACCTGTCTGAAGAAAGCGACATTGATGACCCACCCAGCCCTGTCTCCTCCTCTGCTTCATCCAATTAATATAGTCTCCATGTATCCTGTAAATAGAAAATTATGGGGGCCCGTGTGCATTCAGCTGACTACATTAAAGGTAAGTGCTCAGTCACGCTGTATCCATTCCTCATTATTTATTACTTTTACTGTACTGTAGCCAGTCCTCATTATTTATTACTTTTACTGTACTGTATTTCATTGTAGATTTTTTTTTTTTTTTATCTATGTCGGACTTAAGACCAATCGGACTTACGACCTGGATTTGGGTCCCTAACCCCGTTGTAAGTCGGGGAGCACCTGTATATATTTCTGCCACAGCACAATACAATATGGTACTTTTCCATGAAGCAAGCAGCCTAGCAACAAGCCTAAATATTTAGGCATTAGTATTATCCAGCCCTACAATAAAAGCAACAGCTGGTTGTAGTTCTATATACAGTACATAAATATATTAGTGTTACATGCCATACTTGTATGTTATGTGAAAAAATAATGTTTTATTAAAGGTGTGTTCACACGTGCATACATTTGGTTGCCAACATGTGATCAACAAGAAGAAACACGGATCTAATGCACGCAGCCGCACCCTACCAGTTGGAACCCTGTGCCTCATTTTGATCACATGTTAGCGACAAATTGTACACACGTGTGGATGCACCTTTAGGCTCACACAAAACAGCCTGTAATTTTCCATGAAGTCATGAGCCAACAGAGACATAAAAACTGGTTGTACTGTATACATAAATACCCTTAGTGTTAGTATCACTCCATATGAACCATTTCAATATAATGTTAAGAATTTTTTTTTCATTAATACCGACTGTAACAGCACATGAATTATGCAAGGTACAAAGAATTTTGGCCACACTTCAGTTAATTTGTATCCAAGAGATAGTTCAAATAGGGTAGAGATCTGAAGTTGTCAAATTAGCAAGGTACAAATGTATTAATATTATTAATGCAAAAATAGTACATTTGCTGCTGATCTTTCTTATTAGTGAGCATGGACTATAATTATACATTAATGTTATTATTGCCTATAAAACAACAGACTACACCAAGCAACCTGATGTGAACAAAGATGGTAGCAGTGCATGTGCCAAGAGTGGCATCTTTCTTTACTTTATTCTTAGAAAAACCTAAATAGTAGTGCTATTCCTCCACCCAATTTACTTTATTATTCAGGCAAGATATAAGTTCTCTCACATAGGTATGTTTAATTAGGTAGCTGGTTAACTTGGGCTAGGGTCCTTAAATACAGTAGCCCCTAGGTTGAAACTCGTCCGTTCCAGAAGGTGATTAGTTAACGAATTTAGATTAACAAAACCATTGTTTCAATGGGTTTTTGGGTAATTGGTTCCAGCTCACCGAAAATTTCCTAAATTCAACAAAAATGGTAGAAAAGTTCACTTACTTTAAGGTGTGTATGTAGAAGGCTCCTGGATGATGATGATGATGATGGGATTTAGAATGGGGGTGGAGGAGAAGGAAGAAGAGAAGGCATTGGGGTGGAAGAGAAGTCACCCCATGGTGCCATTTCACCCATAAAATTTTAGCTCTCTGGTTTAATTCAAGATTATTTTCTTTAAATCAACGCTGCACTGCATTATATATTGTCAATATATAAAATATATTTCAAAATGACCAATAATTTGCTTGGAAACACAGAAAAAAAGCGTTTAGTTGAAGAGAGTCTCAAGCAAGATGTTACCTCCAGTGAAAACAAAGAGAGACTGACGCCTGTTTGCTGTATTAAGAGGCTGGATGCCGCGCATTAAACTTGTCACTTTACCTTCAATTTTGTTCAATAATTGTTAAAATGACTAAAAAATTGAATATTAAACTTTAAAATTATTGAATAGTATAAACTTCTTGATATTTACAAAAATAGTAAGGAATTTAAGCCCTAGAACCGATTAATGTATTGGCGGACTGATACTAAAGCTGGTTGCCCTGTCAGTGCAAGCGAAAACATGTTGAGGTCGGTTCGTAAGAAGTTCGTTAAGCGAATTTTTTTTCGTTAACCGAATTGAAGATCCTTATGGAAGGCAGTTCGTTAATCGAAATTACATTTAGCAGTGTTGGTAAGTGCTGTATTTATGAATTAGGTTTTGATGAGAGTCCTCATCTATGAGTTATCCTTTGACGTGAAAGATACAGGGTGAGTTTTGGAGACATTTCTAGGGAAAAAATTTGTTTTATAAGGTGGAAAATGCAGAATTTTGAATCTCAAAGCACATATGTCTTTTCCTGTAAGTTTAAGGAGATACAGTTGTACCCCACTTAACGCGGTCAATTGAACCCAGAGGGTCCCGCGTTAAGTGAAAACCGCGTTAAGTGAATAACAGAACATATGGGATTAATTCCAATAGAACCCAGCCCGACCCCCAAACTCCACTTTTTGACGACAAATAACTATGTTGTAGTAAAAATAACATCTTAATTTTATGATGGTACATGCACACAATTAATACTTAAGAGAAATAGAGAAATACAGTCGCCAAGTTAATGTCCATTCAAATAATGGACTCAACTCCCTCCCCCTCTTCTCACACTACACTCCCTGGCTCTTCCCTCTGAGAAATTTTTGGGGGAAAACCAGGTATAGTAATAAATAATTCCTCAAACTAAAGTTAGGATAATATAATTGACATTGCTGGATTCCTTGTAAGACCAGGAATATTTTGAATATAAATGTCATATATTTTTCACAAAATATAACATAATTACCTAGAGAACAATTTTTATCTAAAAATTGTATGTTTAATGCAAAAAATATGTTGTTTATATTCAAAATGATCACCAAATTATAAGAATTCCAGCAATGTAAATTATATTCTGGCCGGATAATTTGTATGAATTTTATGAGCTAAAACAAATATCTACAGTTAATAAAAAAAAAATATATTCTTCAACACTATCTGTCAATCAAAGTACCCCACCTTGCCTCCCCCCCTCTTCCAACCACGTGGTCAGTCCCAACCCTCCCCCCACCCCCCACCAATCCTCCATTCAAGAGTTTTTAACATTTAGTATTAAATAATACCTCAGATTAAAGTTAGGATAATATAATTGACATTGCTGGATTCCTTGTAAGACCAGGAATATTTTGAATATAAATGTCATATATTTTGGACAAAAGATAACATAATTACCTAGAGAACAATTTTTATCTAAAAATTGTATGTTTAATGCAAAATATATGTTGTTTATATTCAAAATGATCACCAAATTATAAGAATTCCAGCAATGTAAATTATATTCTGACCGGTAATTTGTATGAATTTTATGAGCTAAAACAAATATCTTCAGTTAAAAAAAAAAAAAAATATTCTTCGACACTATCCTCAATCAAAAGTACTTGCACTTCCCCCCTCTTCCAACCGCGTGGTCGGTCCCAACCACTCCCCCACCCCACCCAATCCTCCATTCAGAGTTTTTAACAATTAGTAATAAATAATTCCTCAAACTAAAGTTAGGATAATATAATTGACATTGCTGGATTCCTTGTAAGACCAGGAATATTTTGAATATAAATGTCATATATTTTTCACAAAATATAACATAATTACCTAGAGAACAATTTTTATCTAAAAATTGTATGTTTAATGCAAAAAATATGTTGTTTATATTCAAAATGATCACCAAATTATAAGAATTCCAGCAATGTAAATTATATTCTGGCCGGATAATTTGTATGAATTTTATGAGCTAAAACAAATATCTACAGTTAATAAAAAAAAAATATATTCTTCAACACTATCTGTCAATCAAAGTACCCCACCTTGCCTCCCCCCCTCTTCCAACCACGTGGTCAGTCCCAACCCTCCCCCCACCCCCCACCAATCCTCCATTCAAGAGTTTTTAACATTTAGTATTAAATAATACCTCAGATTAAAGTTAGGATAATATAATTGACATTGCTGGATTCCTTGTAAGACCAGGAATATTTTGAATATAAATGTCATATATTTTGGACAAAAGATAACATAATTACCTAGAGAACAATTTTTATCTAAAAATTGTATGTTTAATGCAAAATATATGTTGTTTATATTCAAAATGATCACCAAATTATAAGAATTCCAGCAATGTAAATTATATTCTGACCGGTAATTTGTATGAATTTTATGAGCTAAAACAAATATCTTCAGTTAATAAAAAAAAAAATAATTCTTCACCGGGTAACAGATGGTCGGTCGGTCGGTCCCTCCCTCCCCCCCACCCCCCACCCCCCACCAACCGTCCCAAGGAGATGTGTGGGATAACCACTAAATTTTAATAAATAATACCTCAAACTAAAGTTAGGATAATATAATTGACATTGCTGGATTCCTTGTAAGACCAGGAATATTTTGAATATAAATGTCATATATTTTGGACAAAAGATAACATAATTACCTAGAGAACAATTTTTATCTAAAAATTGTATGTTTAATGCAAAATATATGTTGTTTATATTCAAAATGATCACCAAATTATAAGAATTCCAGCAATGTAAATTATATTCTGGCTGGGTAATTTGTATGAATTTTATGAGCTAAAACAGGCAGTCAGGCAGGGTGGCGGGTGGGGGGTGGTGCGAATCTAAAAATAGCTCTCGAGCCGGACACTCACCGCGTATATGATGAAAGCGTATATGATGAAAAATGCCGCGTTAAGTGAAAATTCAGCTTTGGCAAGGCACCGCGTATATGCGAAAACGCGTTAAGTGAAAGCGCGTTAAGCGGGGTAATACTGTATTGCCAGAGCACAGCAAGCATTTCCTAACTTAGCACCAATAAATCAGAACAGCAAAGCATTTATATTATTTTTAAAAGAGTTTTCAATTAAGTGAATACCTTAATTCTGGTTCTGTACAAAACATTTGTAAATAAGAGGAATAAGTAAAAATTATGATTTTTAGAAACATTGTTATTTATCATATTTCCATATCTTCCCAATAAATATTAAAAGAAAAACCATAGTAAACTGGCATTTAAATGCAATCCTGCTATAAACTGACACAAAAATGGTCTCCAGTGCATTTTTTTAAATTTCTCTTAAATCTTCTGAAATATTATGAACATCAGCATAGTTACATAAAGCTTTGTCCACTCACTAAATATAACATGAAACTTAAATTGTCAACATGCAAAAGAACCAATACATTTTCCTCTAAATCTACAGTAAGCTTAACTCCAAATAAGAAATATACTATGCAGTACAGTATTCCTAAGACAACTATCCTCTTGGCATGGTATAAAAAAAATGAAACCCTTTCAACTGCAATTACACAATTCTAAGATTTAATACAGACAACTATTTTTGTGATTACTGCACAAAAGAACCTGTATCCTCAGATGCATTTTGTACCTTATACTACAGGTACACCTTTTCACCGAGTACAACATTTATCTTCCTAAAGACAGCAAGATATAATTCCTATCTTGTATATGCATAGATGCACCACATGAAAGATTAATTATAGGAACAGTCACCTAAAAATAAATCCTCCCAACAATTCAGAAACCTCTTATATGCCAGTCTACATGGAAAATAAATTCTAGTACACACCATTTGATTTACTACACATAATATAACTTGCTTGAGAGTGCATTTTTCTGTTCAACTGTAGCAACACACTTAATTTCTTCCTGAGTCATACCATCTCCATCCCTTTCAGACAATTCTGAGATGTGTACTTTTGCCCTGGTAATAAGAGAGAGTATATTAACACTAAAATTACTGCAACTGTATACATTATATGTATTTACTGCAAAGGAAACCTGATGTATGGAAGAATTAAATAACAAGCAACAGACATAGTAAGTAGGATTAAGTAGTGATTGTTATAGTAAGTAGTGACAGGTAGGTAGTTGGGTAAGTGTGTAGATGGGTAAAGAAGGTGTTGTAAGCAGATTGGAAAGACGGTAGGTAGCTAGATGAGTAAACAGATAGTTCGGGATATATAAGTGAGTAGGTGGTTAGGGAAGTAAATCTGCAGGTAAGTGAATAGAGATAGGAAATAAGAAGATACCGGTAAGTAGGTTGTGAGGTCAGTATATAGGTAAGTAAGCAGATATGTAGGTAGGTAGGTAAGTAAGTAGTTGGGTAGGTATGAAAGCTAGGTAGAAGGTAGATAAATAATTAAGTAGTAGGTAGATAAATAATTAAGTAGTAGGTAGATAAATAATTAAGTAGGTAGATAGGGAAATAAGTACCATAGGTACCTTTATTTTAGCATCTTATTCTTTATTCATATAAACTAATTATCTTTAACTGAAGGAAGAAAAAGTCGAGGTTAGAGTCAGCTGTTGTATTCATCTGCAGACATGAGCATGGTTTTGGTAAGTATTCTAGTGAATACAGTACAACGTCACATATATAATTCAAACCGATACAACATTAGTCATATTATATTCAAAATATCTATCAATCTAATGTATCTCATGGTTTCTTGGTGGTTGTGCTGTGATTTTACTTTTTACGTTTATCCTCTTCACCACTGATTGGCTCGTTAGCCGCTTGGGCGATCAGTCACGTCTGTTACTTTTCTTTTTCTTTTATCCTCTTCACCAAATGATCGGCTCGTTAGTCGCTTGGGCGATCGGTCACCCCTTTGTTTCACACTGTTGGCAAGTACTGGGCATGCACCAGCTCCTGAATGTACCTGAACCCACTCCAGTGTTGGTCAAGTCTGGTCTTGAAAGAGCTCACACTCGGTGCTGACACAACACTTTCTGGTAGATTGTTCCAAGAGTTCACAACTCTCACGCCGAAAAAGCTTGCCCTCACAGTTTTCTGGACCTGCGGCTTCTTCAATCTTGAGCTGTGACCCCTTGTGGGGCGAGTGTCCGCCAGCTCCAAGTAAGGACACTCGACTGAGTAGTGTCCCTTGAGATGCTTGTACACTTCAATTAGGTCTCCCCTTGCCCATCTGTAGTATAAGCTAGGCAAGTTCAGGCGCTCCAATCTCTCAGGGTAGCTGAGGTGCCGAAGTGCAGGCACCAGTCTGGTGGCCCTCCTTTGAACATTTTCAACCAACTGACAGTTCCTAGCATATCTCGGGGACCAGACAGGGTTTGAGTACTCCAGATGGGGAAGCACAATGTTTTCAAATGGTGCACCCTCGCTATTCTTCACAACATGCATCATTTTTCCACATACTTGGGCACTTATTTCTATACTTGAACACTATTTGAATTTCACATTTCAAGTGTGATACACTTTAAAACACGGTAAGACACATGGTGGTGGCCGCACATCAAACACATGTAAAATGTTTCCTTGTACACCTGAGGTTGCTTTGTTGAATGTGCATACATAGCCATGGCATTTTCTCGTTGGGTGTCTCATTGATGCTGTAGGAAGGATACAGTCCGGGATTTGAGCAAACTGGGAGGCATTAAGGCTTTGATGTGTTTCTGGGAGTGGATGGACTGTGGCTCACACAGTTGGTGGTAGACAGCCAGAAGTTGCTTGAGGATGTGAATGGTGTGGTCAGTGAATTTCTTTCCCTTCACTTGTTGGTATAGTATGTGTGCATTTTAATAATAACATGTCCAGGAGATGGAAAAACATTTTCTTATACCATTTCGTTGTTTTCCAGGCACTTTTTACACTAGAGATCATTGCATCTGATTTATCTCCAAGTCTCATGGTTATATTATAAAAAAGAACACTCAGGTTTCATCTCGTATTGTTTTGTTGCCTTGTGTATGTTATGGCTCAGCACAAAGGTGGACAGTAGACATCAAATTAACACCCTTCTTATTACACCATTATATTGAAAGGCATTACTGTGCTTTCCTAAGGATGACTTGGCCATCACTCCTTTCTTTTTTGTTGGGGAGGTATGGCATAGCAATACGCTTGGCTCTGCATGTCCCACAAGCCCTGGTCTTTGTTGTCATGTAAGTACCTGTACTGGAAAAACACTACCCTGTCCCCCCAGAATGGCCAGTGATAGGATCAAGTGTTGTATCAGTAGTGCCCTCATGTACATAATATCTTGGATGTAGCTCATCTTGCAATCACACATCACAAACAACTTCAGGCCAAAATGGTGTCGCTTGGGTGGAAACTGATACTGCCTCGACACAGCACTATACTTCTACGAATACAAATATTCTGGTAGTATAGATAGAAGAGGGTCCTGAATTTCTCATGTAGGTTGTCAAACATAGCGGATTTTCTTCGTCGAGTCACTGTACCCCTCTAGATTATCATAGACGTGGAGCAAATGTAAAATATTTGTGAAACTGTTTACTGAGAGTAATTTGTGAAATATTGAAGTGGCAGTCTGTACCAGGTCAGTGGTCCAGTACTCTATTTATGAGTGGCAGGGTGGCAACGTGTGGGCTGGGGGTCATCTGGGTCATCATCGCTGTTTGTGTCATCCATCCCTGCAGGAGAGGCAGGCCCAGGGGGTGGGTGTAGGGTCATAAGATGAACCAGGTGTGGGTGAGCGGAGTAAGGGAGAGCGTCGAGATAAAATGCTTATGCCTGTGTTGAGAAGGGGGGTTTCAGAGGCAGGTGAGGAGCATAGGGTTGGTTGACGCTCATGATTACATGGAGAGAGAGAGAGAGAGAACGGCGAGACAATGGTGTCTTCCCGCTTCTTTTTTTTTAGTTGGCCCAATCTCACTACTTCTCCTAATGCTGATGCCAAGAAGGTCCTTGAACCCAATCTTGATCATCACCTTCACACTGAGTCACATATAGTTCCTCATTTTCCTTATCCCCTTACATATTTTCTTCACTTTCACTACTAGTACTTCCCTAAATGTAATCCAGGTCTGTGCGTCAAATCACTTTCATCACACGTGGCTTCATTATCGATATCACTACCACTCATAAAAAATAAGACGGTTTCAAAAAACAATAAAACAATTCCCATTTATTTTGCATAATAGTGAAGCCCAAAACTGCAGGATGTGTATACTTAATACACATTCTTGACCAACAACGCCTCTCAAATATAGAACAAGTATTCTCTTCCATGACCATCAAAAAGTTAATAAATACTGCATTGTAACTCCACAAGTAACCCAATAACCCTCTCCCATCCCCCCCCCCCAAACTCCCTTACCCTCCTCAATCCCCATAACACCACCCCCCCCCACACTTGTGATTTCTTCAGATTCCCGAGTTATGCTTTTGACTGTAACATCTTGACTGGGGTTATCACAGGGGGTATAGGAACACCTTTCCCTGACTGAACTACTGTACTGATTTTTTAATGCATTCAACACCACTAATCAGCATATCACCTGTTAACTTTTCTTTTTTAATTGGTTGATCAACACAACCTTCTTTCTGTTTCTACCATATCTTTACAAATGGTACTTAACATATGTATCATCCAATTATCACCACGTGAAACAGAAATTTTTCATTATGGCAGGACACCGTGAAATCATCCTTTTGAACAGGGAACTTTGGCATGTTAAATTAAGATGATCTGACAAAAACCCCTTCATTAACAAAGGTGAAGGGAAAGGAGGGGTGAAACAGTCCCTCCACAGTACACCCATGCCTGTGGTAATTTATAAATTATTCTAAAAAATATCTTAATAAAATGTGCTTAGGGTAAATATTTAGAGATTTTAACTTGCATAAGCTGGTGGCTATACATACTGTATGTATGTTACTGTAAAAAATGAGCACACATTCCATTATATATATTTATATTATGGATATACATTATACAGAAAATAATAACATAAAATATATTAGTAATGCTTACCCCAGTTGCATGCATTGATCAACTATGGTGATCTCTTGGAGTCAAGGAAAAACTATATGATTCAGATAGATAGAGTGAAGGACATATAAATGAAAGGAATAGATATCCAGGAAGCAGCAGTCTGCATGAATGAATGGAAGGCACAAGAAAAAGGAAAATAAATGTCCGGTGTGTGTTAACCCTTGATTACTTCCACCCCGTATTAAGCAATAAGTGGCTTGAAAACTAAGAAAATTTCAATACTCTCCTGAGATATATATATATGTAAACAATCATAGACATTTACCTGAAAGCAGCCAAATGAGCATAGTACGCAGGGCTTGGAAGGGAGACAGATCTTGTACAACGAAAGTACAGATGGCATAAACTGTAGGTTAGCATCTGTATATCATCCATTGTCATATCATTGTCATCCCACAGAATATGGTAATGAGTTGGTTTGCTGGTACCTTGAATACCCTGGAAATAATAAATTAATTCAATTAAAAGTTGAAAAAAACTGCTCACACTGTTCCTTTTATATACCCTTTAATGCTTCCTCTGGGTGGTTACAGAGGTTTAAGATCCGGAACAAGATCACCAATATAAACATTGGTGGTGAAGAAGCGAGTGCTGACCGTGCTGCGGCTAGGGAATTTCCTCCGTTTTTACGTGAGATTATGGAGGAAGGACAATACACCGACGACCAGGTGTTTAACATGGACGAATCTGGTCTTTTCTGGAAAAAGCTACCTTCCAAGTCCTTCGTTGTAAAGAATGCCAGCAAGATTCGGGGCCGGAAGATGCAGAAGGAACGCATCACCGTCCTGTTTACCACCAATGCCTCCGGTACCAGTAAGCTCAAGTTATCGGTGATCCACACAGCATGCAAGCCGCACGCCTACAAAACCATGGACATGACCAAGCTAAATGTCCACTGGCTGACCGCACGTAAGGCGTGGATGTTCTCTACACTGTCCCTCACCTGGTTTGATGACTATTTTGTTCCCGATGTAAAGAAATTCTGTGAGCAACAGAATGTGCCATTCAAGATTGTGTTGCTGCTGGACAACGCACCAGGACACTCGCCCCTACTGTTAGATCATCACCCCAACGTAAAAGTGGTCTTCCTTCCTCCCAACACTCCGTCTATATTACAGCCCATGGACCAAGAGTTAATCTGTAATGTAAAAGCTGCATTCTCTACGAAAAAATTCCAGCTCCTGAACGACTACACCAACACCAGGGAAGAGTTGCGCAAAGTGAGTGACACCACCACCGATAGCAAGAGCGAAGAAGATGAGGATCAACAGTTGGCACAGCAAAAAATACTGTTCAAACAATTCTGGAGAGTATTTAACATCAAGAAAGCTGTGGACTTCTTGGTGGAGTCATGGGATCAGCTGTCTATTGCTACAATTCGTCACGCATGGAGACATGTGTTACATGGAATACCAGGTGAGAGGAGGAGTCAATCTGTGACTGGTGAGGTTCAGATTGTTGCAGTAGCAGTGGACCTTGCCAGAGAAGCTGCGCAGACTGTTACAGTTCCAGGCTTCTCCGAGACCACCAACGACGACATCCTGGAGGTGATAATGGAACCTGATGTGACTAACGAGGAGATGGTAGATGATGATGATGACGACGTCAGTGAAGAGGCAGGTGGTGCGTCATCCCAAGAAGAACAACACTTATCCCATAGTAATGTTAGGGGTGCCATCGAGTGTATCGAGAAAGCCAAGCTCCTCCTTTCCGACGACCCTGACGCAAACAGGTATGAAATCTTCACTACCCAGCTGTTGCAGACTATGGAGCCCTACATCAAGGTGTATCACGACAACATCAACACCAGCCGTCAGCAAAGCATAACAGATTTCTTCGCACTAGCGTAGCTAGGGGGGGGCGGCACTTTTGGGTCTGCTCATCACCCATATCTGCAGCTACTGGAGACGTTAATCCATCCCTTTGTATCGGCGGCAAGTTAATCCTTGTCGTGTCTGACCTAACACCTGACCCACATCATCACGGCCACGTCATGAGCTACACCCTTGCTATGAGGCCCCCCGCCACACACACAACCTGTAACCTGTTGAGGATTAAGGAAACAACTTCAAACAAGTACGCCAGTGAGCTCATGTGGTGTGGGTCAGGTGTTAGGTCAGACACGACGAGGATTAACTTATAAAGTTTAAGTATGTTTGGTGTGTATTTAAAGCATACTATATTTGAGTATGTGAAAGTACAGTAATATTATAATGGTACACAAACTATTTAATATATATATATATATATATATATATATATATATATATATATATATATATATATATATATATATATATATATATATATATATATATATATATATATATATATATATAAGAGTGAGTCACTGTGCAATATGTATTTTTTGTGGGGGCACGGGGCGGCAAACTCAAGGGCCGCCCCGGGCGGCACTCACTCTAGCTACGCCACTGTTTCTTCGCCCGCAACCCACCACAGCCAGCCCAAGCCAGTGATAGTGACAGTGAAGATGACTTTGAGGGATTTGTCAGGGAAGCCCTGACAACTGTAAGTGACAGTGATGGTGATTCACCTAGTAATGGTGATTCACCTGAGGGCCAGTAATCTGCCCTCTTCCTCGGAACCAGCCTCCATCCCCGTATGCCGACCCATCTCTTCTACTAACGTAAGTGTTCCACATAACTTTTAGTTTTCCTAACCTAACCTTTATTTTTCCTATGTTAACCTTTATTTATCCTAACCTAACCTCTTCTATATTATTTGTTTTTTCATACCATCATAAAGATAAGATAAAATTTTTACTACAACATAGTTGTGTGTCGTCAAAAAGTGGAGTTTGGGGGTCGGCCCGGACTCTTATTTCAATTAATCCCATATGTTATGTTATTCACTTTACGCGTTCCTCACTTTACGCGGGACCCTGCGGGTTACATTAACCGCGTAAAGTGAGGGTTGACTGTATATATATATATATATATATATATATATATATATATATATATATATATATATATATATATATATATATATATATATATATATATATATATATATATATATATATATATATATTTCATGTAAATCCACAATGAAAACGTGGATAAGATAAATCTTGATAAAATCACACGGGAAAATGGAAACAACGGAGCACCTTAGCTTTCGTCTTTATTCAAGACATCTTCAGAGGCAACTGGATTACATGGACAGAGAGAGGCTTAAATATACAGGGTGACCTTAAAACATGAGGTCAGGTCATAATGATGTCATCCACTAATCCCCACACCAACACACACGTAGAGGAGCTTAAGAGAAGGGGGGTGACGTGACTAGTCAGGTCAGGTCAAAAATAAGGGACCCACAAAATAACTATCATACACCTAGATCTAAGGTTTTCAAAGCATTTTTAACCTTGGGCCACTGACAAATAAATTTATGTAACATATTATCAGTTTTGAACTGACCATCACTAAGGTTTATTAATTTTAATTCCTTAATCAAACTAGCTTCAACCAGAAGTCTTTCTGTGACACAAGATGATTTAAATATTTCTAAGCTTTTTTCCCAAGCAATGGGGTGATTATTATTCCTAACATGAACGAACAAGGCACTGCTTTCAGATGCTGTTCTAATATTATACTTATGTTGTTTGATTTTGAGCTGCAGTGTTTTTCCTGTCTGTCCTACATAATTACAATTACATTTGCTACATGGAATACAATAAACACTTCCATTTACATTCAAACTTGGGCTATTCCTTATTAACATATTGGTAATGGTTGAGTCATACTTGAAAACAACATTAATATTTAGAAGCTTGAGGGACCGAACTAACGGGACAAATTCATTACGATAGGGCAGAGTCAAAATATTCTTAAGTGTAGGAACTTGTCTGGTTTGAGAGGAATGAAAGGATTTTTTAGCCCTTTTAAAACAACGATCAACAAACACAGAAGGGTACCCGAGTTTCTGTGCAATAGAAAGAATGTGTTTCAATTCATCGTCAATAAATTCAGAGTCACAAATACGCAGACATCTTAAGAACATAGTAGAAAAAACTGACATTTTGGTAGACTCAAGGTGATTCGATAAAAAGTGAATGAAACTGTCTACCTGTGTGGGCTTTCTATATACCTTAAATTTATAGTTTTGGCCATTTCTCATGATAAGCATATCAAGAAATGGAAGGGATTCATTTATTTCTCTGAAGATGTCTTGAATAAAGACGAAAGCTAAGGTACTCCGTTGTTTCCATTTTCCCGTGTGATTTTATCAAGATATATATATATATATATATATATATATATATATATATATATATATATATTGATAAAATCACACGGGAAAAGGGAAACAACGGAGCACCTTAGCTTTCGTCTTTATTCAAGACATCTTCAGAGTTGCCTCTGAAGATGTCTTGAATACAGACGAAAGCTAAGGTGCTCCGTTGTTTCCCTTTTCCCGTGTGATTTTATCAAGATTTATCTTATCCACGTTTTCATTGTGGATCTACCGTATATCACGGCCTATAAGACGAAATTTGAACATTAAAAAAATCTGCCCAAAGTTAGGGGGTCGTCTAAACCACCAAGTTCAAAATTCTTACCTCTTAAATATTGTGGTTTAGTGTGTCAAGAGTGGTGATGAAAACATCGTAAGCCACTCACAAGGTCTTACCACTAATTATTTTATACTGAAACTTACGTTTGGCAAGCTGGATTCAAATTAAGATTACCGGTATATTAAAATAATAAAAATGTATTATAAACCTGTCTAACATACCGTAAAAGAGATTTATACCCCTGTAATAAACACAGCTATCATCACACACCCCTCCCCACGCCCCCCCCCATTTGCCAGTGAGGAGACAAGAAAGGAAAAGTGCATTAATTCTTGAAACTATCGACGGTTAATTACAGACGCTCAAGTGACGTCACTAGTGTTTACACTACACCAGCTGGTAATATTTGATGCCATTACTTGAAGTGAATTGGCCTTATTTTAAGTAACTAACTATAAATAAATACAAAAATTAAAAAAAAAGATCAAAACTGAGAAATAATATACTGTATGTATGTTGTGTTGTCAAAGTAAGAGGAACAATTGTGTAAGTACGTAATATTTTTTCACTCAAATCCTAATGAAACACTACTGGAGAACATTCCTTTGTCGCAAAACAGTTTATAAATTAAAGAAAATAATTACAGTGTGTTTAATATATTACAGTATATTATAAATAAATAAATAAAACAAATAATTCGGTAAATTTATTTAAAGTAAATGGAAAATAAGCAAACATGTTATTTACCAAGACCCTTCCGTCTGGCTCAGGGTGAGATGTAGGGGAGATAAAGAAGGCTATTTATAGCCCATCAGAAGTGGCTAGTACCCTAATGCACCATAAATAATTCATTGAACATTCATTTTTTGTACATAGTATATTCAGTATATATATATATATATATATATATATATATATATATATATATATATATATATATATATATATATATATATATATTATATATATATATATATATATATATATATATATATATATATATATATATATATATATATATATATTTGTGTAATAAATGTATGTAGTAAGTACATACTGGTAACCTTTTTCACTCAAATCCTAATGAAACATCACAATTAGAATACGGTGGTTGCTGTTGAACCACATGTTGTATAAATAGTCACACCACCCAGACGAGGGAACACTCCCACCACGCTTCAGTGACGTCACTAGTGTTTACACTACACCAGCGAGTATAATTTGATGACATTACTTGAAGTGAATTGGCCTTATTTAAAAAAATCAAGGATGGTTGGTAAAGGACTACTGAGTCAGTGGGTAAGTGTCACATTTGGGGTACTGGTCTTATACAGCAAATAGAGCTCAAAAGCTACTTTTTAAATGGAAATTTGGGGGGGGCGTCTTATGCACCCCGCCGCCTTATAGGCCGTGATATACGGTAATGAATACAATTCGTTCCACAGAGTCGTTCGTTAACCGAAAATTTTGTTAACCGAATCCATTATTTCAATGGGATATTGGATAATTGGTTCCAGCTCACAGAAATGTACATACAAAGTAAAGCCAAAAAAGCATAAAGTCAGAAACGCTCCTAAAATTCCCCTAAATCGCTATATATACAGTATATATATATATATATATATATATATATATATATATATATATATATATATATATATATAAATGTGTAATTCACATCATCAGGGGTGAGTACAGTCTGTACTCACCCCTGAAGAGTTAAAAAAAAATTGCCGCCGTCCATTGACTGCGTTAAATTAACGGCGTCAACGTACAACACTGCATACAACATTCTAGTGTTTATTTTTCTACTCTAAAATAAATATATCAGAATAAAGGTGAACTTACTTGATGAGAGCAGAGATAGAAATCTCGCTCACTTGGATGTGTGATCCCAGAATCCACAACAGTACCAGGTGGAACATTCTTACACTTACCAACACCATCTCTGTCCTCACAGAACAATCTGAAAGAATTCATGTATTTTAACAAGGTAAATTATCTATCGATCATGCTTCTTTGAGGGTTCTAATATCCAAAAGAATATAAAATACAGGGTACTGTACCTAAATGCAAGGGTGTTTGAAGGTGGGGGTGGAGAAGAGAGGTAGGTCTTGTGGAAACAGGAGCAACAGACAGTTTGAAAATGTACAAGTTGTGTGTGTATATATATATATATATATATATATATATATATATATATATATATATATATATATATATATATATATATATATATATATATATATTCCTAACAAAGACGAAAGCTAAGGTACTCCGTTGTTTCCATTTTCCCGTGTGATTTTATCAAGATATATATATATATATATATATATATATATATATATATATATATACTGGTATGGAGGGTTGGCGGGGGGGAGGGAGGGACCGACCGACTATCTGGCGTGGTTGGAAGAGGGGGGGAGGCAAGGTGGGGTACTTTGATTGACAGATAGTGTCGTGAAGAATATTTTTTTTTTATTAATTGAAGCTATTTGTTTTAGCTCATAAAATTCATACAAATTACCCAGCCAGAATATAATTTACATTGCTGGAATTCTTACAATTTGATGATCATTTTGAAAGTAAACATCATAGATTTTGCATTAGACATACAAATTTTAGATCTAATGTAAGTATTTTGTTTACTCTGAGTAAATATGTTATCTTTTGTACAAAATATGACATTTATATTCAAAATATTCCTGGTCTTACAAGGAATCCAGCAATGTCAATTATATTATCCTAACTTTAGTTTGAGGTAATATTTATTACTATACCTTAAAATCTAGTGGTTTTACCCCAAAAAATTCTCAGAGAGGGAAGAGCCAACGAGTGTAGTGTGAGAAGAGGGGGAGGGAGTTGAGTCCATTATTTGAATGGACATTAACTTGGCGACTGTATTTCTCTATTTCTCTTAAGTATTAATTGTGTGCATGTACCATCATAAAATTAAGATGTTATTTTTACTAGAACATAGGTATTGTGTCGGAAAAAGTGGAGTTTGGGGGTCAGCCGGTCTCTATTTCATTTAATCCCATATGTTATGTTGTTCACTTTACGCGGGCCTCCGTGGGTTCAATTGACCGCGCAAAGTGAGGGTTCACTGTATATATATATATATATATATATATATATATATATATATATATATATATATATATATATATATATATATATATATATATATATATATATATATATATATATATATATATATATATATATATATATAGTGGAGTCTGCATTTACGCAGTCAATTGAACCCGTGGAGGTCCGCGTAAAACGAAAAACGCGTAAATGAAATACACAAAGTGTACATTTCTACCTTTTTTGTTGAATTTAGGCAATTTTCGGTGAGCTGGAACCAATTGCACAAAAACCCTTTGAAACAATGGTTTCGGTTAACGAGTTTTTCGGTTACCGAGCAACCTGCTGGAATGGATTCTGCTCGTTAACTGAGGGACCACTGTGTATATATATATATACCGTATATACCCGTGTATAGCACGAGTTCTTAAGACCAAATTTTTTGGCAAAAAGTTGGGGGTCGACCTCTATACGGGTAATAGTTTCGTTAGGTTGAAAAATATTTACCAGTAACTACCAGTAAACAATGGAAACGACGCACCAACTCACCACCCACTGTGAGTGTCGGTACAGTTGCCAGGGCAGATCTCTTGCGTCATCATAGCAAGCCAAAAGTAGCCAAATGCATGGTATGGTATGGTATGGTATGGTATGGTATGGTATGGTATGGTATGCACAGGAGTATGTAAAACATAAAGTATTCATTTTTAAAAGTTTATTTATGGATACATAAATTTTTTTTAATTAAATTTGAAACATCAATCTTTGTTAATTAAATTTGAAACAAAAGAAAAATACGATACCTTATTTATAAATATTTTCATTAAAATATTACATCACAAGTATATTTTACCTTAACTGTGCCTGAATGAATATATTCTCAGAAATAAATATGGAAATGTAATATTTTTGCTGAAAAGACGTACGTATTACAGTGGAAAGTGGGATAAAATTGTGACGAAAACAATGACTTTCACTTTCTTTCGTCGTTCAAAAGATTTTGCCGTAATCGCTTTTCGAATGGTTTTCAGTTAAAAACTGTTGAATTACAATAATATTCTATCCTAATTGACTTGAATAAATACTACGATACCATATTTCTGAATATTTTCATTAAAATCCATCAAAATCATTTTCCTTGTCATCATCTGCAGCACCAAACAGCTCCTCCCAGTCCTCTCCTTGAACAGCATCGTCATATGGATCAACACCATCATCAGCCATAGGATCATCAATATCTTCATCCTCATTCACGCTCTCATTAGCCTCATAATCCCACAACAAGTCATCTTCTGTTCCATCAAGAGCATTCGAAATCCCACATTTCTAAAAAGATTTCACCACAATTTCTGGTCTGATTGCATCCCAGGCCTCTGCAATCCATTCACATAATGTTGCTAGTGATGGAGCTTGGATGTTGCCTCCCTTTGTGTATGTCTTATCGCCTTCTATCATCCAGTTGTTCCACTTCACTCTTACCGCATCTTTAAATGGTTTGTTTAAGGAAACATCCAGTGGTTGGACAAGACTTGTTAATCCACCAGGAATCACAGCTGTATCAGTGTTTTCCTTCCTAATCCCAGCAGTAACACTGTCAACAAGATGTGACCAAAACATATCCCACACAAAAAGACTTTTTTCTTTGCACAGTCCCCCTGGTCTAAAGTTCAGACTTTTTTAAGCCATATTTGTATGCCGCCTTCATCCATCCATCCTTTCTCGTGCACATGGATGATTAAAAAAATGCTGTCTGACTTGCAACACTGTTGGTAGGGTCAGGTGGTTCTAACGGCACCTGCCAGGACCCGGTAATCAAATTTATAAGTGTCTAACCTCAATTACTGTAGTTTATCTGATGTAGGCAATATGAAGTAAAAAATACCAGTTAAAGTGAGAAATTGGAAGAGAATAATTAAGAAAGATGTGGTTGGGCTATTTTTGGTAGGGCTGAGGGAGTACCAGCTGTTTGGTCTTGTTTGGCGGGAGAGTCACGCAAATAACCGTAGTACTGGTATTTGTTTGGTGTCTTCTATATTTTTAAAAATGAATACTTGTAAATTAAAAGTACCGTAACATTGTATTATATACAAACTTGTCATATTTCTGGAAAATAAGAAGCAAGAAAATAGAATATACCGGTAAACACAATTTCAACGTACGCTAAAATTAAAAGCTGCTTAAGAAGGGCCGAAGCAAACACAAAGCCTCCTCGACCAGGGCTCTGCCGTATCAGCTAGACGGTAATCGTTTTCAGTTAAAAAACTGTTACATCACAAGTGAATTAGGATAGAATATTATTGTAATACAACAGTTTTTAACTGAAAACCATTCGAAAGGCGATTACGGTAACATCTTTTCAACGAAAGAAAGCGAAAGTCATTGTTTTTGTCACGATTTTATCCCACTTTCCACTATAAAGTGGGGTATGCTATAACGAACGGATCCTACTACGAATATTCCTATAACGAACGGTTTTACCTATAAAATTGAGAATGCTATAACGAACGAAACTCCTACAACGAACATTATTAAGAAAAAAAATTTTTTTTTTTTTACTAATTTATTGTTTTTTTATTACAAGCATTAATGATACTCTATATTTCAGGGGTTTAGATGCATATTTATGCACTTTTTTACAATTTTTACAATTTTATATTATATTTCTCAGTGTTAAGTGGTTGTATTTGGGGGCCTGGAACGGATTAATCCTATAACGAACGAATGCTATAACGAACAAGGTTCTAGAACCAATTAGATTCGTTATAGCATACCCCACTGTAATACGTACGTCATTTCAGCAAAAATATTACATTTCCATATTCTCAGAAATAAATAGTAGTTTTGCTGAAACGTGATGTATTTCAATGTAAATTAGGATAAACTACATGAAAACAAAAGACTTTACCAAACCTTCCGATGTTCAAGATATGTTACTCATTTTTTTATTAGTTTTCGGTTAAAATACTGTTATATTAGTGATATTCTATTCATACTGTGCTTGATACAATACATTCACGGAAATGTAATATTTTTTGCTGAAATGACGTACGTATTACAGTGGAAAGTAGGATAAAATCGTGACGAAAACAATGACTTTCCCTTTCTTTCGTTCAAAAGATGTTACCGTAATCGCTTTTCGAATGGTTTTCAGTTAAAAAACTATTGTATTACAATAATATTCCCTCCTAATTGACTTGAATAAATACTTGAATGGAAATATACAATATTTTTGTTGAAACTACCCGCGTTTCAGTGTAAAGTGTCGTAATAATAAATGGTAAACAAGTTTATAGGACGTAGTGTTTCTCTGAAGGTTTTGTTGTTCCTTTACCCTCAAAAACTTGGGTCGACCTATAAACGAGGAATATCATAAATTAACAATTTCTTGGTCAAAAAATCGGGGTCGACCTATATACGAAGGGGGGTTATAGACAAGTATATATATATATATATATATATATATATATATATATATATATATATATATATATATATATATATATATATATATATATATATTGATATAGATATAGATATAGATATTGATATATATAGATATATATATAGATATATATATATAGATATAAATATAGATATAAATATATATATAAAAATATATATATAAAAATATATATATAGATATATATATATATATAATATATATATAATATATATATATATATAAATATATATATATATATATATATATATATATAATATATATATATATATATATATATATATATATATATATATATATATATATATATATATATATATATATATATATATATATATATATATATATATATATATATATATATATATATATCTATATATATATATAGGCTGATGGCCGCACAACAAGCTAATTCCCTGTACTGCATATATTATCAATATGTTAAACAAATGTTAAAATGACTAATAATTTTAATATAAAAAATGCAAAAATATTAAAGAATATAACTTTATTGATATTTACTCCACTGGAAATGAATTTAAACATAGAACATATTACTGAATTGGCAGACTAGCCCATCAGCTGATGCTCATAACAAAACATGGTGTTTGTAAGGATTTTGTTAAAGTAATTTTTGTCATTAACCGAATTGAAGATTCTTATGGAAGGTAATTTGTTAACCAAAATTTTGTTAACCGAACCGTTCGTTAACCGAGAGACCACTGTATACAGTACGCCTGGAGAATTCGCTGATTTTGATTTCGCAGTCCTCTATTATTTGCGGATGACACCCTGGATGTACCCAAAAATCTCTGTGGGTAGTTTTAAAGTTGCCGCCATTTTTGCGGCCGGGACAGGGAGCCATTCGTTCTAGAGACAGTAATTTACTTAACCTGTATTGTATATATGTGTGTGTGTAGACACACATAGACCAGACAAGCACTGGAGCAGGATGAGATACATTCAGGAGCCAGTGCATGGCCAGTACTTGCCAACAGTGCGTAACACAGACGTGACCGATCGCCCAAGAGGCTAACGAGCCGATCAGTGGTGAAGAGGATAGAAGTAAAATTAAGAGGAACTGAAAAAAGATGGAAAGAAAATGTACATCAGTAACATTAATGTACCTTGTATGATGCCGCTTTTGAACCACTAAGAAAGTGATGCCAGGTGTGTAGTCAACTTCTGTTTCAGTACAAGCTGTTCGCATAGCTTTCAGCTCATATGACAATACTTCTTGAAACTGAGACTCACTAACTCCATCACGATACATAACAATTCTTTCGGGCTTATGTCCTTTTGTGTAAATGAAGAATGACCTTAACAAGTTTCTGTAATTTATAGAAAAGAATATTAAAGTGCAAAAATAAATACCTTTACCAGTAATTGAATCATCAAGTTTTTGTGAGGAAGATGGAAGTGCATAATAGAAGAAAAAAACGTTTTTGTTCAAACCTCAGAATGCGAATTGATAGGTTATATAGTACTGAATATATAATAAAAATTTCTTACACATACTTGGTCATTTCCTTTAGATCTTGAATTATTTCCACACGATGTGGCTGAGGTCTCACTTCTACAGAAAATTTGGAGGCAAACCTATCATATGAGGCAACAACTGCAGCCATGGACGGGGATTCTCCATCTCCAGCTGATGGATGATTTACATCTGCACCCATAATCATAACAGGTCTTTCTAATATCTACAGAAAAAATAGAATAAAATAAATAGATAAATACTGTATTCAAGAACTACCACTTAAAACACTGTACAGCACTTTAATTTACTACTTGAAATTTTTCATAAAATCTCTAGAAATAGATTATCTTCATAAATAAACAATAAAAAAGGCTCGGAATATTGACATCATATTTACTGACAAAATGATTAGAGACAAGGAGGAAAGCGAGGTAGAAGTGTTTTTCCACATGTTGCACGTTTACCAAGTAAAAGTGCATCACCAACACTTGCACAAGGTGTCCATGGTACTGGAGTAGTGGCAATGATTTGAACTGCAAAATTTTCAAGGAAAAATGATGGTACAACACCACCATGAATGAACTCTTGTTTGTTTTCATCATTAACATGTTGTTGTACTTTTACTGGTTCTGGTAAAATAACAATTGTAAAAATAATTTCCATGATTCAAACTTACCATAGGCATTCCAGTTCTTGAAAGAACATTGTTAATACCACCCATCTTTGCATTGATCTTCAGGAGAATGTTTCCAAGTGTCTGTGGTTTAATTGCAGTCACATTTGTTGCTTGAACACACTGGCTCAATATACCAACTTCAGTGTCCCCTGTCCTCTTGATATGAGCTAAAATATAAAATAGTCACATTACAAAAACCCAGATCAATCAAGAAATGGGATCAATTCCACTACTGTATACCCAACAAAGTAAAATGACAAAATAAAAGACCTTTCATAAACCTTTGTACAAAGGATAACAGTATTGTACCAGTATCCCTTGGTATACGAAAATTCAATAATATGAATTTCCTATATTACTACCCCTCTTATATACAGTCAACCCTCGCTTTATGCGGTCCCACTTTACGCGTTTACGCGGGACCCTGCCGAACACATAATGCTCACTTTCCGCGGTGTGTGTACCCTTTTACGCGCAGAGCGGCGCGAGCAGGGAGCACACAAGGTCGCCCAGTCATCAAAACATTACCGAGTTCTTCACCCGCCACCCACCACAGCCGGCCCAAGTCAGTGATAGTGATAATGATAATGAGGATATGGACTTATATGGACTTTGAGGGGTTTGACAAAGAGGCCCTGCAAGCCTCTGTGGTGGATAGTGATACAATTGATACAAGTGAGGGCCAATAATCTCCCCTCTGCCTCGGAACCAACCCCCCATCCCCGTGTGCCCAGCCATCTTTTCTACTAATGTAAGTGTTAAAGAACCTAATATTATTGATATTTCTCTTAATTATTAATTGTGTGTGCATACCATCATAAAATTAAGAAGTTATTTTTACTACAACATAGGTATTGTGTCTGAAAAAGTGGAGTTTGGGGGTCGGCCCGGTCTCTATTTCAATTAATCCCATATGTTATGTTGTTCACTTTACGCGTTTCTCACTTTACGCGGGCCGCCGTGGGTTCAATTGACCGCGTAAAGTGAGGGTTCACTGTATACGGATTTGGGTCCCGGCAAAAATTTAAATAGCGCACCCCTAGAGAATATTTATTTGTAAATACATAAGGTAGGAAAGTAACACAAGTAGGATAATGAGCTCACAAACTAGCATACAGTATACTGGAGATAGGCAAGTTATAAATCAGGAATTGGCATTCAATTAACAATTCATCAATACTGTATAGTACAGGTACCTGTACTTAGATCTTGCAGGGTTTTTGCCAAATGTTACTTGATATATTAAGTGCCATAAATTTTTGTCTGATAAGCAACAGACAGCTAGGGGTCAACCAAAAATGATGAGAGAGGCTGCTAGTGACCATGTATGGTAACTTTTAGAGCTGCCATCAGATATTCATAGCTATAGCATGCAATTGAGAAAAACAGTGATGGTGATAATAAAGATATCTTTATAATTATTTCATGTTCACATGCACATTTTAACCTTACTTTTTTTATTTAATTAAGTTTTCATAATATAATAAAAAAAATTGTTTTAAGAAAATCTATTATCTACTCTGCTTGATAGAGACCAGAAATTAATGCTATGTCATACTCACCATAAAGATCACCTCCTCTTCCTAAGATAACTAATACCAATTGTAGGTTTGAGTATTCCTGCTTAAGCCTTGTAAAATCTTGCTCAGGACAGGGTTTCCATACACCAAATGCAGCAACTGGCTCAGAAAATTTCATCCCTTTCTCATCAGCCATGTGAAGTAATTTGGTAATGAATGTCCTGCAAGTCAAAATATATGTTTAAAATAAGCACATAAGGTAGATATAAAAAAGGAACACGTGCGATACTTGCTTTATAAAATTCAAATGTTGGGTCCCTGGGATACACAACCCATGGAATTCAAGGGGTAACTATTAATTATCTGGGATCCAGCACAATATTGAAAAACAGAAGTAAGGTATAGACCCAGAAATCCAGTACCTTTGGGACCAAGACTGAACCACTTTTGAGGAATTTCCAGTTTACTGTGATATAAGCTTGTAGTGGATTTCTCCCCTACAAACGCTGTTTGTCGCTGAGTAGCCGACCCCGCGAATTCCCCAGTGTATGCCTCGTGGTCTAGGTCAACCAGCGCCGCCCACGGAGCGGAGGTCAACTATCTACCCACGCCTACCTCCGCTATAAAAGACCTGACCTCGTGGTGACCTGTCTCTTCTTCTAGCTACAGCCGCAGCAAGCAACACCACCTCCTCCGCCGCTGCCTGGCGGTCCTCGCTCCCGCCGGCGAGCATGGCGACCCACAAGCTGTCCTCCTCTGAGCATCCTCACCAACCAGCTCTCTCTACATCACGCTTGTAACCATGCTGCCTTCCAGCACCAAGCTGCATTGTACATCCAATACAACATGTATACAGAGAGCACATTGTGAGTTTCTTTTCTCCATCCCATCCTGAGTGTGAACCCAAACAACTCATACCCCACAAGCTCATCCATGTTACCTCAGACCTACT